CGCCGGAACATTCCAAAAAAAGAAAAAAAGGCGGCCTCAATCGATCGCCGAGCGCGGCGCAGGCTCAGCGGTGGACGCTAGCGGGGCCGGGCCGGGCGCGATGGCGGAGCCAGCGGACAAGCTGTACCGAGCCGAGTACGCCAAGAGCGGGCGGGCCTCGTGCAAGAAATGCGGAGAGAGCATCGCCAAGGACTCGCTGCGCCTGGCCATCATGGTGCAGGTACCGCGCCGCGTTGCTGCAGCGCTTTGTGCTGGGCCCCTTTCATCCTCGCCGGGGGAGGCACGTGGGTGGAGGGCGGCAGCGCCTTCCCCAGCTGCAGGGGAAACGCTGGGAGAGCAGCGCTGCAACGTGGGTAATGCCCCCCCCACCCAGCGCCATTCGCGAGCGCAGCTGGGGGGGCAGGAATCCGCAGTGCCCCACCCCCGCCTCCGCCTCGTTGGGCTTCCCGCGCTCTGCTCGGCTGTGACGTCACCGCCGGGGGGCCAGCGGCTGGGAGCTGGGGCTTCCCCCAGGGGACCTGGACTCCTATTGGTGGAGACGCATTGGCGCCCCCTGCTCGCAGCTTTCGGAGGAAACCCGTGGCTGGGGTGGGGGAGCCAAGGCAACCCCTTCCCCCAGACCCTGTCATGGGCACACTGGCACAGTCTGCAGGGACACTGGCCCTGGCAGGAGAGGAGGGTCACTAAGTGTGTGCCCCAGCCCTGAAAAGTGGGATGGGAGCGCCATAGCAAGTGCTCCAAAGGGGGCACTCAGCAGAGTGCACTGCCCTGAATGAGTCCAAGCAGCTAGTGGTGAAACTCTGCCTAGAGATGTGACCCTGTGACAGGCCTCTTTGATGCCTAAGACAATTGCAGGCCTGGGCCAAAGCAGGAAGGGTTAGCCTCTTACCCCATGCAGTTAGGGGGTGTTAAGTGTGCACCAGCTGATTTCTTGGGGAGCTGAAGCAGGGGCAGGCACCAGGGTTAGAGATTGACACCAAATGCTCCAAGGAGGGCACTGAGCAGAGCACATTGGGTGGCACCCACTGGCCCTCAAATGAGTCCAGGGAGCCAGCAGGCTCTGCCCAGTGAAACTGGCTGGAGACAGGACTGCGGAGGAGGAGGAGGAGGGACAGGAGGATGGCCCCACATTCACTGGGCGCTCTCCCAGCCACAGCCTCCCTCCTGGTCAGTTGTATGGCCATCTTGGTGGGGCCATGGAAGGGGTGTGCCTGAACAAAAGGGTGCGGGGAGAAATGCAGCCAGGAGGTCAGCAAGAGGATCTTGAGGTGGTAAAGGGGCTGCAGCCTGGTGCGTTAACTCACTGACCAGAGGATGTAAATGTTTCTGGGATTGCTTATGTTCTGTTTACCTCAGTTTGCAGCTTGGGGACTTTTGGGTGAAAACAGATGGGGGGGAAGCTAGAGATCGAAACTGGTTTTAGTTGAAGTGTGAGCTGAAACCAAATCGTACTGCTGAAGATCTGTACAGGTTTCTGGCTTATATTCCTGAGTTTTCCCCAGTGATTTAATACACTCTAAAATTTTTGGAGCATATTTGTCACTGACCTAATTCTTTCTTGTGACCCTTTGTGGGTGAATTTATTTTTAGCAGGAATTTGAATGTTTTCTTCATTCCTTTGATCTCTCTTAACTGAAGAATGAATCACCATCCTAGCAGTTCATTTTCACCCCTTGTTCCTTGCCTTGTGGCTGATGAAGAGTTTACCTAGCTTTATCAAAGAGAAAGATCTCTGACCACGCTTTTGCCACAGGACCTGCCTGCAATTAGTAAATACAACTGTCTGTAAATATAGTCTGCCCATAGTGCAGTGTAATATGGCTGCTCACTAGGGTGAAAGAATAAGAAACACATTGGAAAAATAAATGTTGACCTAATGCTTCTGGTCAGATTTCTCCCTTCAGCATTTCCCACCCTTCTTATCACCAGTGCGGGGTGGGGGATGGCACTGGTGTAGCCCGGGACTGGACTTCTGATCTCCTCAAGGAAACCTTTTGGTCCTTTAAAATATTAGTGGCAGATGATACCTTGTGTGCCATACTGCACCAACTGTTGTTATTACCAGTGCAAAATTGTAACCAGAAAAGGCTAATGCAGCCAAGGCATGTTTTAGCCCTGGAAATTATTTGTTTGTTTTTCCCCAGACTGTACAGCTGAGAGGAACACACGTGACAAAGCTGCTATAATAACTACCGTGATTAAATTAGGATATTACGCTGCAGGGAAGTCAGGTTCATTTTTGCTTGTCAGGAACACTTTTTCCAATCTTTTTGTCCTTCCATAAGAATAACTTCAACTGATGCTTTTTCCTTGGACTCAAGTGCTCTCTGTAGACAAGGGCATGACAGGCTTCAGAAATTAATCCAGTGTAAAGTGTACAGTTAAGTTTCTTATTAGAGGATTATTGCGATTTAGAGGACTCTTGTAGAGCACTAACAGAGAGGCTGTTTTTCTGTTTCTGAAAACAAGGAGTGGAGGGGGAAGAGAGAAGGCTATAATGTGCTTGGGAATATTGCCTGTTCCGCAAGGTAAAAATATTGTATAAATTTGTGTCCAGGCTATAGATAAGGAAACATCTATGCAGTTCACTGTCTGCACTTTTAGCAAAACCTCGCTAATCTGCACACCTTATAATTAAGAACCGACCCAAGTCGCAGCGAGACGCAAAATATTTTGCGGCCCACTCGCAGAGTGCAGAGCTGATTTCGTGGGCATTTCATGGTGGCCCTGCTTCTCACTGCTAGTTGGCAGAGGGGCCCTGGCAGTGCTGCACCTCACCGCTGATTGGTGGAAAGCGTCTTCACTCAGTCTGTGCCACCAACCCCCCAAAACCTGGTAATTTCCCAGGAAATTGCAGCCAATGGCAGGTTTCCCGGTAATCATAGACAATGCTGTTTTTCATGGTTTCTGGGAAACCGTGGTTTAGGTAGGTCCTTACTTACAATGCACACACATACCAACATTCTCTAGCATTGCATTATGAAGCATTAATGATGTTCTGCCATATTTAGTAGTGTTAAAATGCATTTGGGCCTCACAACTCTGAGGTAAGGTGTTACTGCATTTTTATAGATTAGGAGACTAAGGCACTAATAGTGTCAGATGACTTGCCCAAAGTCTTGCAACGAGCCAGTGGCAGAACTGGGAATAGAACTTGCAAGTCAGTTCCCAGCCTCTGAGCCTTGTTCTTCCCCAAGTGATGAAAGAACATTTCTGAGTGGGTTCTTGTACCACACTTGGTGGAATCGGGATTGAATATGTGCACTCCTGCTCCTGTATTTTGGAAAAATACAGAGAGGTGGACATGGCATGGTCAAAAAGTGCAGTGACAGAAGGCAGCTAGTTGTGCTATGGCTTAAAAATCAATACGAAGAGTTATTTTTTTGGAAATACGTTGTCAGCCTGCCTTGGTTCTTGCCAACCCATTATGGAGTGGGGGCTCATTTGTGTTGATGAGGCTAGGCCTACACAGCTTAGTCACGCATTTCTTGGATTCCTCAGTAATACATTTTAGGTAACTAACAACTATCCCAGCTAATGCCAAGGTAATTACATTCTGATAGCTACATTTTTATATGCTACTTAGACTCACAATAAAGAGATCCCCTCCCTGTGGGTAGGGTTTGAAAAACTATCTTGCCCCCAGTAAGCTGAGGACTGAATTGATTAGCTAGGCTGAAAGATACTTGCCCCATTCTCTTGCTTCCCAAGGGGCCACTGTATGCTCTTCTAGTCATTTCCATTAGATAAGCCAGCTTTTTGTTCACACAGTAGTGTTCTTTGTGTTGTAACATGTTGGTACTTAACTCTAAAATGAAACCCCCCCACCCTCCATTTTCCCTTCATGCCTCCTACCACACTGTCTTATCTTTCTACTTTGAAATTTCCTGTTTCCTTCTCTGTTCCCCAGTTGACACTAATTCCTCTTTCATTCCTGGATGTTTGATTTACTCCCTCCTTCCTCCATGTTGCCTTTCATCAAGCCCTTGCATGCAGTCTGTATAGTTAATCAGCCTTCTGCCATCCACATGCAGGCTAACCTGCAAGCTACTTTCTAGGCTTCCTGTTCACAAGGAAAGACTGTTTCCCATAGTCTGTTCCAGCTTTAGCAAAACCTGGTAATAATAAAACCTGGTCCTCAAGTTCTTCCAGGGTCCCATCTCTATCACAGAACTCTTTTATTGCTTTCTGCTCTTGTCAGCTCCCTGCCAGCAGCCATATTTTGACTTCTAGCAGCCTGGAATGGAGGAAGGCAAGAAACTTGAACAGCCAGTGCATGCTGTACCCCATCCAAAACCTTCGTATTGTACCAAGGCAAGGTCTGTGCCACCAGGTTTTGCTGGCATGAACACATTGGCTAGGGCTGTGAAAATCCTTTGTGTAGGTGTAGCTGTGCCAATGGAAGATGGCTTCTGTTGGCATCACTAGTATCATTGGATAAGTGGTATAATGAACATATTGTTCTGACTGTAGGCAGAGAGGATCCCATCAGGGTGCAGGGGCAAAGCAGCCTGCATGGGAGGCCCCCCTCCCCATCCCACGGCACACTTACACTGGGGAGTGAAAGCCTTGGCACACTGGACACAGTGGGACAAGTGGTGGCCAGAACAAGCAAAGAGCTGTCCAACCCATCAGGTGGGCAGGTGGGCTAAACTGCAGCCGTGGCCCCTCTGCCTGGCTCTGCAGGGCCCCCCAAAGCATGGGGCCCCAGAGCAGTTGCCCCAATTTGCCCCCCTCAGGGAGGGCCCTGACTATAAGTCAACACTTTTTACCCTCAAAAAGAGCCATGTAACTCTCACTTAATTTGTATGCAAGATTACCTTAATTGGAACAGTACAGTATTGTTGCACTGAGCAGGTGACCCTGTATGGCACTGAAGCACCAGCCGTTGTGGCCATAAAGGCTCTGCTCTGTCATGGATAGCAGTCTCACTGTTGTGAGGAGGGGCAACAATGACTGGGTGACCAGTCGGTCTCCACTGTCCTGCAGTTCCCTAGGATCTCTGTGGTCTGTTCCACCAGAGTGGGAAGTAGTTCATAATATTCCCGCATGTAGCTAGGAGCTTAGAAGCCCAGGAGCCCTTTGTCAGATCCAGGTTTTCAGCTCTTCGGCTCCACTGCAGAGAAGCTTCGAGCTGGGCTACCTCAGAGCTGCAATCTGGCAGGCCACCACTGGTGCCACGGAGCCAAAAAACAACCCATGAGATGACCTGGCTAGAAA